CTGGGCGGAAATTTCTATGAGAAAGTTGTGCGCTATAAAAAGTGCTGGGGGGGGGGGGGTAAAAAGGCTGCCTCCCTCTTCATAGTAATGTACTGGTGCAAAGCATCAGATGAGTGAAATGCATTTTCACTCTGTATGAAAGGAAAAAAACAAGCTTCTTTGTACTCTACCTCTCTCTGAGAGAGTGAAATGCCGATATACTCTTCAGGCATGAGAGAGTGAAACGCGGTTATACTCAATATGTATATATATCAATGTGCGGGCAGACTGAGTGATTATCACTACTTAATTACCACACATATGTTGAGTAAAGGCCACTGCTTTTGTCTGCTGTGACGTGCAAGAGCAATAATAAGAATAGCAGCGTCTACAGTGCTTCCCACAGACTTTCAGCGCACTGGAAAGCACTTGGAACTTCTAATTTTTGTGTGTTATTTGCGTAAATAAATACGCAAACACGAGCTCTTTGAATCGTTCACGATGAAAACTAATTTCAAGCAGTTATCCCATTCTTATTCAATATTCATGCTTATCGCTACGAACGTCGAATATATACGGTACGGTAACAATTGAGTATTGTGGCTGTTGTCACACAACATGAAAAACAAATATGCAAACTGCATCCAAGTGCTTATAAGTAAAGGTTACCAAGTAAGAGCAGATTATGTGCTCCAAAAGTTTGCATGCTATAGCTGTAAGTGAAATAGGTCAAAAATTAGTAACAGAATGCTTGTTTTCTGGCTTGTGTAGCGGAACCACTTTTGCCTCATTCCAAACGCGTGGCACCACACCTTCATTCAAAGACTGTTGGAATATTTTACACAGGAACATAGATGAGGCATGCTTAGTTTCTTTAAGGATTCCTGCGTTGATGTTGTCAACACCACAAGCAGAGGATATTCTGAGTGATTCAATTAGTTTTACAATTCTTTAGGCCTCAGTCACTATAACAGACGTTGATGGATTATTGCGCACTGGTAAAGAGACGGTAGCAGAAGTGGACGATACTGAAAAGTTCGGGACAAAGTTTTCGTTCAGACGTGCTGCACACATCTCGGAAGATACGGGAAGGCCGTCCGAGTCAACAAGTACAATTTCACTGTCGTTGGTATTTGTAATAGTTTTCCAAAACTTTCTAGGGTTGCTGACAAGCATTGATGGCAGAGTGTTCGATTGAAAGTTAGTCTTAGCATCCGAAACTGCTGACGAGTAAACTCGCGCAGCACTCTCGTAGATACGCCAGCGTTTCTCCGTACTCTGGAGTTTCGCAGCACGAAACAAGCGTTTCCTTTTCTTAGAAAGTCGCTTTAAATATGTATTGTACCAGGGTGAGCAAGAGCTTACAGGTATGAACTTTAAGGGAACAAAGGTGCGAGTAAGTTTGTACAGTTTGTTAACAAACAGATCCTAGTTTTCCGGCACGGTTCTATTATCAAAGTTATGTAGATAAGCGTTGTAAAATAGAGAGAGTTCGTGGTTCATTGCCTCAAAGTTTGCAGCATTGTAGTTATAGATAACCTTGCGTTTTTTAGTAGCAGTTGGCATGCTGTTGCGTATGTAAAAATGTAGCAGACAGTGATCGCTGAGACCAGGAAGTGAGTTTAGTGCATGAATATTCTCGGGCATTGTTGTAAGAATCAAGTCAAGAATGTGCGATGAAGAACTGGTGACGCGTGTTGGGTTATTGACCATCTGCGTAAAATTAAACAGGTTGCAAGTATCAAGAAGCATTGACCATTTGAAAAAAAAATGGTACAACGTCTGGTAACGATGGCGCCCACATTATGGTAGTATAGTTGAAGTCACCGAGAATACTCATCGAATAAGATGGGTACCGCATTTTAATTTCATTAATGTTATCGTTAAACTCCTGAACAAAGCTGACGTCTGTATCTGGAGTGCGGTAACAGACGACAAGAACAAGCGTTTTATTATTCACAACCATCCCGCACCATATCACTTCCAGTGTAGAAGCCATGTTTATATGAAAGGACTTGAAACGCTTCGAAATGGCAAGCAAAGTACCACCACCTTGTCTTCCATCTCTATCGTGGCGGTAAATGTTCAATGATTTGGAAATAGGAAAAATTTCGGTATCGCAAACAATCATTCAACCAAGTCTCGGTCATGGCAATCACGTCGGCTTCACAAGAATCGATAATAGCGTCAGAAGCGTCACGATTTCCCATTATACTACGGATGCTCGTGTAGAGCACCGAAGTAGGAGGTGATACGATACTGCCACTTCCCCTTGCTGATTGTTATGAGGAGGAATTAGATGTCCGCGCACGTGACAAAAGTACGGTATCAGGTAATGAACGTGCGTGAAGGTCATGGCTGTGATCGAAAGTTGAGTGCACCCTATTTTCGATGCGGAATCCGCTACCATTACTGCGAGAATGCGCAGAAGTCTCGCGAATAATGCCCGCGGAAGCACCATAAGAATAGTTTCTGTGGTTAACAACAAGCTTGTCGTAACGAAGCTGAAATGCGGGTCAACCAGGCAATGATTTTGCATAACTGTGCAGCATCTTGCGCGCTGTTTTTGTAGCCTGGCAGCAGTCCCCCGAAACAGACACGTTATGACTTTTGAATTTAGATCGACATGACAGCACAAGTTCTTTAGCTTCTAGGCTTGCAAATTTTACCATCACTGATCGAGTTTTCTCGGGTATGTATGGACCACCTAAATGATGGGCCTTTTCTACTGCATTCGGGTCAAACTTGGCGCCTAGGCTACTAGAGAGGAAGTTGGTAAGTGCCTCTTCAGTAGCTTGCCAGGTCTCATTTTTATCAGACATACCAAAAAACACTAAGTTGCACCTTCGGGCCCTGTCCTCGAGGTCATTTAGGCGGGACACCAACGCGTCATTTGTTTGAGTGATGCTGCCGATAGCTTCATTCGTGACCTGCAATTCCTTCTTAATGTCAGCAACCGAGTTTGTCCGCAGTTCAACCGTCAATATCCGCCTTTCAAACTCGCATAATTTGCTCGCCACAAGTTGCTGGTTGGCTTTCACCTCGTCGATCACCTTTGCCAAATTGGACTGCTCAACGGCAGATGAACCACAGCGGGCACTTATCTTAGAAAGCATTGCCATGACTTCTTTATGACGCGCATCAGAAGAAGCTGTGTTGTTCTCGACATCATCTAGTGGCCCAGGGGTCTTTTTGGAGGCCCTGGGTTTTCTTCAACGTCACCGCAACACAAGAGTAGCGAGCAAAGGGCGTTAGTACACTCTCGCGACAAGACCTACAACACCTGTGGGCGTGGAAGCAGCAGTAAACAACGGCTACTTGTCTTCTTAGCATATAATGAATAGGTTTCACAACCTGTATAACGTGAAAGCGAAGCTCGTAAGCCATTGCCACAGTGGTGCTGCCTCCAAGCCCACTAAACCACTGACGTCCGCTATTGCCGCTTTTGTTGCTTGATAAGAACGATGTCTCTGCCGATGACGATGTCCCGAATGGCCTAGGAGGCTCAGGTGTGTCGGCGCAGGCACTCGCAGGCAACCTTGTTTCATTGAAATTCATGGGTACCACTAGTAAGCAGAAACGCGCTAATAATTCACAGATTTAAAAATAAAAATAGCCGAATCAGACATTTTGCAAACCACACTTTCGTTGTTTTTGTTGACAGGTTTTGCTCGTCCGATGAACAATTACCGAAAGGACACGCATGCCACGATGGCACCGCTCAGGGGTCATTGAAGGGATATATATATATATATATATATATATATATATATATATATATATATATATATAATGAGACCGAATAGCAATGTACATGGAAAGAAAGAAAAGTGGGATAAAACAATAACTTGCCGTGGGCAGGAACCGAACCTGCAACCTTCGAATAACGCGTTTGATGCTCAACCAATGGAGACACCACGTGGCCACCCCCCACCCCCCGAAGCACTTTATTGAGTATATACTTTTGAAATAAACGTGGGAGTTTAACGCACACTCTTTACTAGCATGTTTGACGTCACGTGCTACGTGACGCCAAACAGGCTCATACAGAGTGTGCAACAGTCGCCGCCATGGCTACTGGTGGCGCTGATTGACACTCCCATGTTTAAATTCACATATATACCCAATAAAGCCCCGCCGCGGTGGTCTAGTGGCTAAAGTACTCGGCTGCTGACCCGCAGGTCGCGGGTTCGAATCCCGGCTGCGGCGGCTGCATTTCCGATGGAGGCGGAAATGTTGTAGGCCCGTGTGCTCAGATTTGGGTGCACGGTAAAGAACCCCAGGTGGTTGAAATTTTCGGAGCCCTAAACTACGGCGTCTCTCATAATCATATCGTGGTTTTGAGACGTTAAACCCCACAAATCAATCAATATATACCCAATAATGTGGCTGGGAGCGTAGCCGCCACGGTAGCTCAGTTGGTAGAGGATCGAACGTGTTATTCGAAGGTTGCAGGTTAGATTCCTGCCCACGGCAAGTTATCTTTGCACCCACTTTTCTTTCTTCACATTTACATTACCATTCGGTCAAATACTTTTCGTATACTTTTCTTGGCACTCTTGTCTGTTAGCTCTCATTATTATTGTGTCAAAAGACAGAAAGATGAGCTTTTAGGTATATATATCTTTCCTTATAAATGATTTATTATATATATATACATATAATGCCAAGGAAAGTATACGGGAAGTTATTAGGCCAATTGTAATGTAAATGAGAAGAAAGATCCTGCCCACGGCAAGTTATCTTTTCATCCACTTTTCTTTCTTCTCATTTACATTACAATTAGCCTAATAACTTCCCCTATACTTTTTTGCCATTACTGTCTGTTAGATTTCATTATTATTGTGTTAAACACGAAAAACGAGCCCTTAAGTAAACACTTGTTTCTCTTATATATATATATATATATATATATATGCTACGTTTAAATGCCTTTACGTGCTGCTTTACGTAGCTGGAACTCTTATGCTTATGTTACGAAACACGTTGGAGTCAACGTTTTGTATTTTCGCAGCACTTACCAAGCAGAAAGTCTGTCTTTTCAGGCATGACCGACAGCAGCTGCTGGCGGTTCCACACGTAGCTGGCATTGCCTTTCTTTGACCTATCGTCCTGCCACTCCTTGATCAGGTCCTTGCCGTCCTTGCGTATGCCATCCTTGCCTTCCTCATCCTTTGTGGCTCGGAACATCTTTCTTCCGCCTCCGAGAATCACCTCGAATTGAAAAATGCCTCACTTTACAAGTTGCAGATTTTAGCTAAAGGATGCTGGTGGATCTACGCAGTTTCCTAACAAAGGACTAAGACAGTTAAAAAAAAAACGCGTTGTTACCAGGACTCATACAAGACGAGTGCAGGCAATCCAGTACTTTTATTTTTCATATGTACTCATTGAAAAGTCTTACATATCCCTCGATTTTAGAATTTCAATACGCGCCAACTACGACACACTTCTACGCCTTTGCAGTTGTTTCATAAACGCAGTAATGTAGCTGCGCAATTTTACTGCAGCGCGAGTAAACAGGATGTCAGTGAACTATATTTATTTTACTGCGTGGGTTAAAACAAGAATGATCTATAACGATAACTGCTCCACAGTCCCAAGCGTATCTCGCATAAGGAGCGAACTGGGAAGGAGCTCCATTTGCTGGACAGAAGGCGAACATTTTCAATTGTCAAAGTATTACAACCGTGGCTATAATTGAAGCTCCATATTAAAGCTATCAAAGTCGTTCAATATTTTTTTTAACACACTACCATTTGTTGAGTACTCACAGCGAAATAACGTACTTGTGTATTTTTATGTGTTGAATATATGCAGGCTCTGCGAAGAAGATATTAAATCTCATCGAGCGAAATACTTTTTCGCTGTAACTTGCTAGGGTACAAAACAGGTGCATTCTTCACGTCAGCATAAACATCGGCATCGGCATGACTGAGACACTACTAGGTTGTCATAGACATAGAAAACTCCGCCACAGTGGCTACAGTGTTGACCCGAAAGTCGCGGCATCGAACTCCGGCCGAGGCATTTCGATGTGGCCGACATGGTCCGTGTACTGTGCGATGTCAGTTCACATCAAGGAACACGAGGTGGTCTAAATTTTCGGAGCCCTGCACCTCTACGGCATTTCTAATAATCATCTTGTGATTTAAAGAAGTGAAATTTTAGATATAATTATTATTATCACTCTGAGCCTCGTATGTTTTTTTTTTTAAACCAGCGAATACGTGAGAGACAAACGACTAACACGGTTTAGGTTTAGAGGGAATACGCCAGCTATCTTGTTCGCAAAAAAGACTCAATACGGCATGCCGGAGGCTGCACGGCTAAGAAAGAAGTGCGTGTTTTTACCAGCTGGTCGTGGTGGCGAGTGCACTATCTTGACAAACATTAGCAGACGGTTGATACTTTTGTATTTGCTATTCCTCACCACTGTTTCCGTTGATGAGGTAGGCAGTACTCAGGTCATTTCACTCGCTGCGACATTTGCGTTTGCTTACGCCGTAGTTTCTTTCATTTCGCTTACGCCAGGTTTAATACTTGAAATACGGTAGCTCCTAATCATATGCTGGGAGAGCAAGCTTCCTGTAACACAATTTTTCGTTATTGAATTCAATGCTTCACCACTCCCCACCACGGTTGTATAGTGGCTAAAGTACTCGACTGCTGACCCGCAGGTCGCAGGGTCAAATCCCAGCTGCGGCGGCTGCATTTTCGATGGAGGCGAAAATCCTGTAGACACGTGTGCCAAGATTTGGGTGCCCCTTAAAAAAACCTTAGGTGGCCGAAATTTTCGTAATATTCTACTACAACGTTTATAATAAGCTAATTTTGGTTTTGGGGCATCAATTCCCACATATCAATCGATCGAATGCTTCAGCTTTCTGACAAAACAGGCACATTTTTGTTTCTTTTTTGCTGTATTTGCAATATGTGACAATGGTAGCTGCCGCAACAAATTGGGGACAAACTCTTTGCTTTTTCGTTATTACATAGGAAGAATTATACACAGTTTATTAGTGCAACCGCGGGAACCTTCAGTGAACGATGTATAACGCATAAAGACAGTGAGATAACAGGGTTCTAAACTTTACGAAATGCCTTGAAGCAATAAATGAGCGAGAAAGTTGCTTTCACCAAATAATAACCTGATTTCTCGCGTAGTTGATTCCGCGATTTAAGAAGCATAATGGAGAATCACAATAGGATACTCTGCAGTAGCTTGGTAGGTACGTTTCTAAAAAAGCTGTTGGTGAGCGTGAACAATGAACGAACAACCATTCATCACAGACAGCATTCACTCTGCGTCCACAAAAAATTATTCGACAGCGTGTTACACTGCAACACGCAGTGGAGCTGTAAGCTTGCTGCACAGCTGGCAATGTACTGAGTTACACGGTAGGAAAACTGTCATCTAGTGAGACATAAAATAGTGAGCACCTGCATGAGCGACAGGCGTAGATTGTCTCGAAGTTCTCAGTCAATCGCGTTTTTTCTTGCTGCCTTATTGAATCTCTCGCACGCAATCTGGGATAGCCCTACCATTCATCAAGCGAGGACGTCAAGTGGCGAAGTGATTATCTGACTTCATGTGATGACGTCATCACCTTGAGTCAAGGTCGTTGTGACAGTACTGATTACTCCGTTCTGTGACATGTTCTCAGCGACGTAGGTGGGGTAAGTTTTTGGTACTACTACATTCACCTGTGCTGCGCAGATGAGATTAAGAAGTTCGTAGGTAAACGTGGAAGCAGATAGCACAGGATGAAATTGTTCTGCAGAACTTATAAGAAGCTTTTATTTCCCTGCAGTGAGCATAGTCAGGCTGCTGCTGCTGCTGCTGCTGATGATGATGATGGTGACGACGACGATAATGTTGATGATAATGTTAATGATGACGATAAAGATGATGATGATGATAACGTGCTGTGTCTCAAGAGCCCGCTGAACGGGGCACCTAAGAATTTCACTTTAACATTTCGTATCACAAGGTAACATGTAACATAGGGGACCCGAAGAAAGGAAATATTCCTGCTTTGCGCATGGTAGTTGCAATTAGTAAATTCAATGCAAAACGATTCTGTTGAGCGCAGGCAGTTATGTTAAATGTTAGCACACAAGAACAGGTGCTGCTCTTGTTGGTTTCCTTGTCCGCTTCTAAGAAAAGCCGGAAGAACAAAAATTATTTATTCAATGAATAAATCTATCTATCGAGTTACCTTTATATTGAGGAAAATAGCTATGAAATTACACTGAATATTTGGACCGGTATCCTCAAGTGCCAAGTGTCCGGCCCAGTACAATGTGCAACAAGGAATGCCCAGGTCAGCTTTGAGGGTCAGCTTTGAACAAAGAAGACTGTACTAAATGAAGTTAAACCTTTTGCAGTTAAAGTACTGAAAAAACTCGTCAACACACATAATGACAGATATGTGTATAACGAAAAATTTTGAAAGGTGGCAAACGCAAATTCGAGAGGACATTCAGTGAAAATAGAAGATGGCCTCAACTTCATTGTGCAGTAAACAAAACAAAAACAAAAAAGATCTGTGTCAGCCAAAGAGACAACACGCGTTCATTAGCACTGAATTCTTTCATCATCATAACCACGGCAAAAACCATCACAGTTACTATCAAACAAGAGGTCAACATCCTTTCCCGCAAGCTGTTGGACGTGGTTTGAACGGCTGCAAAAGGTGGGACGATTGAAGCATATACCGTTCATGAAGCTCTCCGTCTTCTGCTGTATTGAGAGTGGTTTTTATACCTCAACACTTGAGCAAAATCTAAACACCAATAATATGTTACTCTACAGGGGTAAGCTACATATTGATTGCCGAGTTGGGTGGTAACAACCTTATTGGTAGTCGGGCAGAGCTTTCACCGACAGGGCCTTAGGTCGCACGCGTGGGGACGTCAAGGCATTGTGTGTCCGCTGCCTCGCGGGCCTGCTGGGAAGCCCAGAGTTGGTCGCCGAAACTGGGGCTCGGCAAGGCAGCGGCCAACCGCGGCGAAAGGGTTCCTCATTTAGCACCTTGCGGGTTTTCGGTACAATCCTAGATCATAGAGTTAACGTGGCAACCTCAATACGGCAGATATCGCATATATTCGTCGAATATATATATTAGGGTATAGTTTTCTAAACGGTAAGGGGTTGGGATACGTGTGCGTCTATGGCTGTCTTAGGGTCACCGCCTGCTTCCTGTTGAGCTTCTTGCTGGGCGGAGGAAACGTTCGGCGAGTCAGGTAGGAAGGCCTTGCTAATTTCAGTGCAGGTCGTCAAACGGTCTTTGGTGTTTCCTCAAAGGACAGTCGCCGGCACCATTCGCGAGTTCGCGTGCCTTAGTGTGTGCCGGCTCGTGTAGATTGGGATGTGCCTTGAATACCCCTCCCATGTGAGCCGGGAACCACAGGCGTCTTGTTTGAAGCTCTACCTCTCACTGAAACTTTCTACTGAGCTGGACTTTGGCCACTCGTCGCGAGTTCCATCTTTTCGCAAAGTTTTTGACCGTTTGTGTCGAGTCGCAGAGGACAATAGTGCAGGTCGGATCCGTGAGGGCGAGCGCCACCGCTACTTCTTCCGCTTCTTGTTTGTGCTCGCATCAAATACTTGCCAATATTCTCGTTTGGTCCTTCAAACGGAGGACCGTGGTTGCGGGAACAGTTTAAAATTTTACCAGAAACAGTTGTCACCTTTCGTGAGTAGGAGGTCTCTAGCGATTTTACAGAAAGCAGTTAGTCTGACCTCATTGTATATGTGTCACATAAGCTTCAATCTCCATGCTCTAAAATGCCTGCCACTGCCAAGGTAAATTGTGCATTCTTATGTGCGCACAACTGATGCAACAGTGGGAAGTGTTTCATCGTGCCTGGCGGTTTTGAAAGTGTGCTGCAATCTCTCACGATGTAGCATGACGCTATGAGGGACCTATTGCGGTCTGCTGAAGTTATCTTTAATAGGCAGTACACGATGCAGCAATCATTACAACGTGCCAATCAACCTTTAATAGCAAGAAGCGCTTTTCTTGCCTCAGCCTTGCATAACATTAGTGTCGAGGCCGTTGACGTCACTAGTATAGTTAAAAATCGGCAACAGCAGCATAGCGTTCTACAACTGGAACAAAGAGCAGCATTAACTTGTGACAGGCCCTCTAACAGATTCATGCTAAGCCCGACGTCTATTTCACGGCACAATTGCGACGCATTCTCAGGCCAAGCGACTGGTGGCAACAATGTGAAATTATGACGCACGCAGCGCCATGGCTGCGTTAGGCCAACACGAAAACGTGAGAAAAATGATGCGGTGACAACGAACCCCCTACTTCACGATGTCAGGAGAGCAGAGGCGCATGTTGGAAGCAAACTTCGTGGCGCTCCAGGAATTTCTCTTTTGAATTGGGCCTAGCATAGAGAACTAACTGCATTATTCTCAGGACATATACGCTTGCTTGCCTTTAAAATTACGACCAATATGATTGAACGGCTAATGAAGCCTGTATAGAGACCTACCTGCACCGTCGCAATGAGGGCGCTGCGCACGGTGTTTGGTTAACAGCAAAGCTGTGTAAGCTTGGAGCTGCATGCGGAACTGTTTGTCGACCGCACCACCCTGGCGACGCTTGGGAGAGTGAAGCGATGAGAAGTCGGGCATAATGTTCAATGCGATGACAGAAAAAAAGTAAGTGCATCTCTTCCCTATCCTCTCTCTCCTCATCTTTGATCGATTGATTGATATGTCGGGTTTAGCGTCCCAAAACCACCATATGATTATGACAGACGCCATGTGGAGGGCTCCGGAAATTTCGACCACTTGGGGTTGTTTAACGTGCACCCAAATCTGAGTACACGGGCCTACAACATTTCCGCCTCTATCGGAAATGCAGCCACCGCAGCCGGGATACGAACCCGCGACCTGCGGGTCAGCTGCCGAGTACCTTAGCCACTAGATCACCGCAGCGGGGTGTCTCCTCATTTTTATACCCCCTTTTTATTCCCTCAGCGTAGGGTAGTGAACCCGGCATGTGCCTGGTTAACCTCCCTGCCTTCTCTCTTGTTGTTCTTGTCCTCCTCCTCAGGCAGTGCTGCGAGTGCTTGCGAAGCTTGTGAAGTGAAGAAGACAGTTACGTTCAAAGTGCGGAAAAAGTACATGCTGCGTTCAGGACACTGATTAATGTTGAATTGGACACTTCAGCGATTACATGAAGTTTGACGTGTACCGCACACCGATGAGTGCCGCGAATTCAGCATATGTGGCACCACGGCACATAATAGCTAATTTTCCAGGTGGTCGCACTGCCATCAGTTTACTCGCAGCGTCAAGAGAATCAAGAATGCGTTGCGAAGGGGCCCAACATAAGTTGGCACAAACAATAAAGGACAGTTAACATGTGCGTCTGAAGAAATCTGTAAAACTCAAGGTGGCAAAAGGTTATACGGGATGAAATCACTGCAATGTTCAGCTTGAGTGGACCTTGTTCAAGCATTCACGTCAAAAATCCAGCAGACCTTATTGCAAATAGCAGCTGAAAATGCTTGACTGTTCTAGAGAACATATGCGACGATAACAAACGAACCAGCTGTGTTTCATAAAGCACACCATGGCACGACCTTACTAAACGATGGAAACGGTTGTGTTACGCAGCAGTTGCGATGTCGGCCTATCGCGCGCGTTGGAAACGCATTTTGACAGGTAAAAAATTTCCTCATTTTTATTTGTTTTGCCAGTAGGTGCAATATGATGTTTCCACGCGATTTGTATCCACATTCCTAGTTTACCGGAACGCGGATTTAATCTTTTGGACGTTCAGATGGAAGAATACGATCATCGTCCCGCTACACACACCCTTCACTTCCTAACGTAAACGACATCTGTTGCGCATGTTCCTCTACTGTTCTGGCGCTTCAAAACCATGACATCAATTTAAGCTCAAGCATGCACAACAACGTGCGGTATTTAAGTCGATGTTTCAGTACAACATTTTTTTTAGATGAACTTCAAACGTTTCATACACAGTGGCTATGTTCGATTATATGACACCGCAACGCATATAGGTGCTAGCAATTTTTAAAGGCTGACAATAAAAAAGAGTCTTAGATTGCATCGCACATCGTAATCCCGAATGAACAGGCAGCTTGAGGTACCCGCACTAAACGGGCGCTTCCATCTCTTCCTGGTAAGCGAACAGGAGTGCCGCTGCTTCCGCTCACAGAAGTGCTGCAGCCGAACTGTGGCAAAACCGAGTCACCTAGGGGGGGGGGGGGGGTGATCTTGACGAGGAAATCAAGATATAAGTGCACCCCGCAACTGTCTCTACGCTTTGAAAAGTCGTGTTTGCAACTGCGTATTCAGCGGCCATGTGAAACTGCGCACGTTCATTCGCCAGCTGCTCCGCCGCTAGCTCGTCAAAACAGCCGAGCTGACGCGCCTCTTTGACCCCCATCGCAAAGCCGCAGAGCAGCTTCGCTGATGCGCTACAAAGGCTTTCATATATATTTTTTTCTTTTTTCTATGCACAAAGACTTCTTTTAGTTATGCTCTATTCTGTTTTTTTCGTGTCTGTTTTTTTTTTCGGTCCACCGTAGCGGGAAGGTGGAGAGCAGCACCGCTATTGCAGTTGACCTCGAAATGAGGAAAACAGTGAGAGAGGCGAGAGGGGGAAAACACTTTCCTTTACCAGATTCCGGTTGTGCCTTGCGTCAGGGTCGAACGCGATGTGCCCGCCGCTGTAAAAGCAGCTCGTGCAGGCGAGTAGCACGGCGATATGCAAGGCGCGCGCAAAGTTGCACCAGAGCTCACAAGAGTAGACAATCGTTCGATACCCTATATTCATGTATTCACTCGAATAGCGTCCCGGTAGCGGTTAAACTTAACGAGTCTAAAACAGCTCCACGGAAGGTTACACTTACGTAATCTTGTCCCATCATGAAATTCCATTTGGTTCCGTAGAAATAAAGGAAGATCTCGTTATTCTGTTTTCATGCGAACGAAAAATAACTCCGAATTTACTGAATGTCGAAATATCGAAAGTATCGAGATAAAAATGAACAGATGTCAGCTGAATCAGCACAATTGTGTTTGCTTGGTTAAATCTTGGCAAGTCTTGTAGTGTGTTTTTCTGCGTAAGAGTAGAGTACAAGTCCAATTTTGTTTTTATCCTGCAACTCCGTTCTGAGTGCACCCGACTGCCGTGTTTATTACCACATCACGTGGCAATAGTTTTCGCCAGTAAAGGGCCGCCAACTGATCGTTCGTTCATCACGACGTAGCAAACGTGCTTTATGCCAGCGTAGTGATTGAGGTTGAAAGCTCCTCTTCAAATAGTTCTGCCATGTTTGAGTTTTATGATATTGCGCGCGCATTGCACCAAGTTCAAACAAAGCAGCTTCACAGTGCACGACGGGCGTGTGAACAAAACCACAATCACTAACTCATAAAGCGAGCGATGCGTTAAGCGCAGCATCGTTCCTGTTTTCTGCCAACGTCATTTTCACTATGTCACATCGCTTCGCGCTCAGCGCGCTCTGGGGATCGTCCGAATTTATCGGGTTGCGGCCAAATGTAACGAAATTAACGAGATGTTGATGCCAATAAACGGTAGGCAGGGTGGCCAGGACAAGGCAACACGTCCGAATGATCCAATTTTCTAGAATAACGAGGTTTATTATGAGATCTCACTGCATATCATCGACCTTAGTTTTACTGCAATGTCACCACTTATAAAGACGAGTTCGTACAGTTTTATGCAATACTTGCCAGAACATACCATCATAAGATTCATGCCTGCTTCTCAAATGATTGATATTGTTGATAAGTTTTATCAATAACATCGTCCAGACAAGATCGCTATTGTGAAAAGTCGCAGATATTTTTGAGGACTTTTACAGAGTCACCCATGCATTTAGGATAATGACCGAATGGTCATGTATCACAAGGTAACCAGAAATCCAGCGAAGTCATTTTGGGTAGTGATCTGCTCTTGGGCATTTTCGGGATATTAACGCAGCTACTGAGCACGGCGCACCTCCGTAACATTTCATTTTGTTCTCGCAATGTATTTACACACACACAAGCACACACACAAATATATATATATATATATATATATATATATATATATATATATATATATATATATATATATATATATATATATATATATAGTCCAGTAGATCCTCTGTGAGCGGTCACAACGTGGTTTATTTCGATGTTTCGGCCTAGAGTCTGGCCTTCATCAGGATTAAAGGTAGAGTTTGTTGGTGCTCAGCTTTATACAATCTCAAATCAGAGGGAAAGGAAAGAGGAAAAAGACATAAAAGACAGCAAAAAGGAAAGAAAGAAAAAAAGAAGAAAAAAGAAAAAAAGATAAAAGAATATTTATTTATTTATTTCTTTATTTATTTTTCAATACTGCCAGTCTCATTCCGAGACCATAGCAGGTGGGCGTAGAGATTGTGCATGCAGGTGGTACATTAACAGCGCAGAAAACAGAAACAGGAATGTAGTAAAATGACAGTCATCTCAAAGTATAAGAGCGAAAAATATACAAATTGTTTACATCTGCAAAGACAAAGAAACCATCACCAAAAAGAAGAGAAATTTTGCATGAAGTGCAGTGGTACACAGGCAAACAAATAGCAAACTTCCAAACACTAAAGTTAACACTTGTACACTCCACTAATACGCTTTCACTGGTGGCGCAATGCTTCCGGTAATGCGAGTATTGCCGCATGAAGAGAACATATTTTCTAATTTTAGTGCAAAGTCGGATACCGATTTCGCACTAGTTATGGAGGAATCCAAACAGTTCCATTCCCTTATGACAAGTGGAAAAAAGGAGTGCTTGAACGTGTCATTGCGGTAAGAGTACTCTTTCAGTGTGTGTGAATGTTTGTGCCTAATAACGCGGGAGTCTGACGGACGGATGTACAATGATGGGCCAATTTTATAATGGTTGTGTCAATTTTATAAACCATGCAGCCAGGCTCACAGGTTTAAGCAAATCTGCTCTAGAGATGCTGACTTTGACACGAGCTCACAGAGGCTAAAACTTATGCTCGAGAAACAAAAATACCCCCCCCCCCCCCATATCAATAATGACGCTGTTCAAAAAGCGAGAAAACTGAAGCGCGAAGACTTATGAAGCGACCACCGCAAGAATACCCACAAGGAACAAACCTCTGCTTGACTTACAGCACAAACTTCCCCAATGTAAACAAAATCCTTAAACGACATTACAACACTCTGGAACAAAGTGAACGTCTGAAACGCGCATTCCCATCCGCTCCAGGCGTCGTTTACCGACGACCACGTAACCTCAAAGACACCCTTGTGCTCTCCCAAATTAACACATCACCCCCCAATAATTCATGCCGCCCTTGCTTAAAGCCACGATGTCATTGTATGTAAGGCGATGCGAGAAACACACAAACCAACCAGCACACAATCCAAGTTTTCGATTAACATACGAGGAAAGCTAACATGCGATTCCTCTAATGTGGTATACCTACTCGAATGCAACGTGTGTGGCATGCAGTACATCGGACAAACAGAAACACCATTTAGGATTCGCTTCAATAATCACAGAGCCCATGCGAAATCAGCCTCAAGTCTACCTCTATCGAAACATCTCAATCTTCCCGACCATGCATTCGACAAACTATCAGTAACGCTCTTAGAGA